TTTCTGAGGTCCATTGGGAATCTGCTCTACCCAGAGCTGTGCCAGTGCCCAGCAATGGTACTGTCTCTCTCTTATGCCACACAAGCTGTGTCTAAAAGGTCAGCAGAAAGTGAAAATACCTTTATGTGACCTCTCAAGTGCTGCTGGTTATTGTATTTCTCAGGTATTGCCCATATCTTCCCCAGGGCCAACCTTTCCACAGAGGTTCTGTCAGTCAAAGGTTGGCCCAATGATCTTGGAAGGACTTTTCCAACCTTAATGATTCTGTGAACCAGTTTGAGAGGTACAAAACTTACTGGGATGATCCTCACAGCTCAGAGCTGAGCAGAGCTTCACAGTTTGGGACTTTCCTGAATATTCCACTTTTCTTTACTTGTTACAAGGTGCTGCAAAGTCAAGAATTGGAAACCAGCCCAAAAACAGAACCAGCTTTTCATCTGGAAGGCTTCAGGATCAAACATCTGTAAATCTCCAGTGCCTCCAAACAGGGGGCTGTTTGGGCTCTCTCCACAGCACCGGGAAACTTGGAAAACACGTTGCAGAGAATCCTAATTTGAAGTTTTTCTTGTGCCCTGATTAAGCTGTGAAAAGGAACAGGTGAATGTAAAGAGAGCCACCCACTGCAAGCACATTAATTATAGGTACTGCAAATCAGCCAATAATGAAGGTGAGACAGAAATCCAAGGCTTTAACAGCTTAACAATGCTCCTTCTTCTCTCGTTTACCCACAGCTGCAGGTGTGCACAGCACAGGCTTTGTCTTTGCAAGGCTAATTTGAGCATCCTGAGCCCGTGACATTGCCAGAAGTGCTCCTTTATCCATGAATATTATCCTGCCATACCTGTCCTATGCAACAGAGACTCTCAGCCCCCGTGCACATTTTGTTTCACGCACAAATAAACAGATGAAAACCTGTTTGTGTGCCCTCCTTCAAGGACCATTATGTTTTTCAGGACCATAGCTGTGGCACAAAAGCTAAAAAAAAAGTAAATATATAAATTAGGTCATTGAGACCATTCTCCTCATATTGTGGTGACATTTCCCTGAGGATAAAAGAAAAAAAAAAAAAAGGATGTGTTAAAGAGTCTAGCTTCAGAAAAAACATCTTACTCCTGGTGTTAACCAGTCCCAGCAGTCAAGGACCTGCCCATACACAGCTGAATGCTACAGGGCCAACTAAAGACACACATTTGGACTTTTTTCCTGTTCTTTTCATCATTAATCATTCAATTTTACTGTTAGTTTGTTAAACTGGATGCACAAAGTAGAACTTTCAGTTTTAGGGCCACATATCACTGGAAAAGCAAAATAGCTGCTATTTTCTCCAAGTTCTACTATTCCCAACCTTCCATTTGCCCAGAACTATCACTTTTAGTAATGACAAAGTGGCAGCAACAAAGATTATGAACTCAGTCATAGCTTATATTTGTAATGATATAATAAAGTGAGCAAACTCTTTGATATTGGTTCAAAAGGATTATTCATTCACAAGCTCCTGTTGGTTACACCCACATTTCTGGCAATGGAAACCCAGTTTATTAATTTTAGGCCCTTTGCCACCAATACTTGAGTTTTTCTTCCCTTCAGTACTTCATTCCTTTATTAATCCTTAGGATCACAGAATCCCAGAATGGTTTGGGTTGGAAGGGACCTTAAAGATCATCCAGTTCCATCCCCTACCATGGGCAGGGACACCTTCCACTAGCCCAGGTTGCTTCAAGCCCTGTCCAACCTGGCCTTGAACACTTCCAGGGATAAATTCTTTATTCTTTTCCTAAAATAATCAATTACTGAAGTGAGAGAACATATAATTTCTTTAAAGAAAAAACTGATACGGGTAGAAAAAATTTTTTGAGTCCAGAAAACAAAACCTTCATGTGCCTGAGTGGGGGTTTTTTTCCATAATACCAGAAAGATTAAAGATTCTTTTTTTCCCCCTACAGACAAAACTGACACAAATTGAAGCACATAAAAGTTAAGACATTTTTTCTAATAAAAAGGAAAAAAATTGCTCTATTTCTATAAATATAAAGGCTTGAAAAAAAAAGTATTTTCTTCTAAATTGGTATTATTTTCAGAAAGCTTCTCTATGCTTCAAAAAGGAGTTTTCTCAAGATGAACAATGTGGGTTTTTTCTTAAAATGAAAACAATTTTGAAAAGGTTTTTGTTTGAAAAGGTTTTGTTTGTTGGTTTCAAGGAGTCACATCTTTTTCAGCTACCAAAAAATCATTAAAAAATCAGGTTGAGGATTTTGGTTTCAAATTTTCTGACTTTTTCAACGCAAAATTTTTGAAGATGAAAAATCTTCAGCAATTAAATCCCTACTGGACTGTTCAGACCTTAATCCTAACACTGCCACAAAAATATCCAGATTTGTCAGTGATTTATTACCATAGCACAGTATTTCAATAAGTTAATAATTATTTTGATATGAATAATTTAACTTCTTATTTGTTTAATTTTTACTTCATCCTAAAATCCCTTCCTACAGAAAGAAATACCAGTAACATAATTTCTCCCTTTTTATACAAATGCAAAGTTCCATTAAATAGAGTATCTGGACATTTAATAACACGTTATACTCATAATATTTTTATGAGATAAGAAATTCTTACTGTCCTCCCCATGGAGATGGGAAATTGGTAACAGGACTTTAATTCCAGTTAAATTCTAATTAATTTTAAATATCTAAATGTTCAGATCCAACACAACCACCCAAAGCTCCAGGTAGGATTAGTGGGTGGCATAGACCTCTCCCAGGGAATGTTTTGCTCCCCTTAGGACACAAACCTCTTAAGATCACTTTCCCATATTCTACCTGGGGAACAAATTGCATCTGATTAAAGTAGGATGAGTCTGTACCAACAGGATTTACAGAGGGAAGAGGAGGGAAAACAAAGACTTTTCTGAGGACAAATTTGTGGGTGCCTCTCATACTCCAGACGAGACCTTGGTGGTCAGTGCCTGATTATTTGTTAATAAAATGCATTCTATAAAGCATTATCATTATTATTGTGGTGAAAATACCTCTCTTTGGTTTAAGCAGGATTTGGTGAAGGGATATTTCCTCAAGGATTTTTTTTGGCAGCCAAGGACAGGAACAGGGTTTTAGGTGGATGTAGAAGCTCGTGCAGGACTTGAACAGGAGCCTGAGAAACCCTTGTCCTTGTGAATCAACAGCCCATCCATGGGCCAGGAGATACTGGTGGCACCAGAGGTCATCACACAGCAGTGATTTCAGCTCTTTGCACTCCCAGGGGATAGAAAACCACCCCCTGGGTGAAAAGGGTGATGACACACAGGGGGAAGAAGCCCAAGAACTGTGCTGGGCCGGTGCCAGCTCACGGGAGCTGAGAAGTTGGGCTGATTCATCTTCATTTTTAAACTTACTTAAAGAAATATTAGTGGCTGCTTAGAAAGCCTTCCAGAGGAACACCAGCAGGTACCAAACCTCTTTGAGTAACTTCATCAGAGGGGGTGACTGCTGTGCTGAGGGCAGTGGAGCTGCAACCATTTAGACCAGGGGAGCCTTAGGTGCTTACAGGGCTTTTAGGGCATCTCATTTCTTTGGCTGTCTATCTACAGCATCAACTTGGTTTGTACATCTGATCCTAAAATCCACTTCAACATAAAAAAACCACAGCAAAATTCAACTTTACAGAAGGCAGGGTTGGTTTCTTGTTTCTTTAGAGCAGCAGTGCAAGCCCAGGTGCACCAAAGATTAAATTCATCCTGCGAGGAAGAGATTGCCACAGAGCATAAGGAGATTTGCAAACCTCATCACTCCTTTCCTGGCTTCAGTTTGTGGGTTTCCTGTGTGAATGGCTGCTCCCCTGAGGACACAGACATCCAGGCATCTTCTTGAACAAGTGACATCAGACAAACTTATTTCCCAAAGTCTCCGGATGCTCAGCAAAGCAGTGGCTCTCTGAGCTTTGTGATTCACTCTGCTCAAATCCTGATGCTTCTTGCTAAAAGGAGAAATTAGCCATTTGAGGATGATATTCCCGTGTGTGCCCCAGAGACACTGCATTCAAGTGCTTAGCCTGACATTAGGCCTGCATGAGTTAATTAAAAAATAATCATTTTTTCTGCTCCTCTTCTGGTTGCCTTCACTCAGGCAAATATGCTGAAATCACAAAACCAGCAAAAGGATTGCTTTAGCTAGAAGATACTATATGAATTCAGCATATTTTCTGCATAGAAATATGACATTTGTATGGAAATGACCTATTTTCTTGAACAGGCAGCTATATATCACAGAGAGTTTCACTGTAACATTTATGCAAAAGAGATTGGGAAGCACTTTCCCATAAGGTGCTTATTTCCTCCAGATGAAATAATAAGGCAAAGCATAATCAAGAAGCTTAGAAGAAATATTTCCCTCAAAGTCATATGTTTCGAGCCACTGGGTATTTGTTTTGATTTCCGTGATATTCCGTGTTTGTTTGTCTTCTGCCTTAAAGGAAGCAAAGGGCTCAGAAAGGAATAATCCATTCTCCCTCTTTCCTTTTCTAATCACATTACAGTTTGCAGGAGATGGCAGATTGGCAGCCTGACAGATCCACGCTGCCCTAATGACCATGACAGCCCTGGCCTGGTCACTGGTGGAGGCCCAGGGACATTTCTGTGCAGCAGCAGCAGTAGCAGTATGATGCAGAGGGAGCCGGGAATGGGCTTTGCCGCTTGGGAGCCAAAATCCTCCTGACAAATCCACGTTACCATGACCTACATTTATCCCAGCACAACACATGTGGCAATTCAGCAATCGGCCACCATTCCGGGCAGACAGCTTAAGGAATGCTGACAGAGATCATTACTTTGCAGCTTTTCCCTTCAGCTGCAGAATTATGGTGTGTGTTATTCCAGGGGCTGAGCTGCTTCCAGCTCCAGTGGGGGCAAAACTCAGGGTAACGACCAGCAACACAAAATCAAACCCGATGCCAACACATCACATCGACAGAGAGGTGCTATAGCCATAGAACACATAACTAGTAAGTCATTTTTAGGCTACTTTTATTACAAAATTACAATTTGAATTAATAGTTGCACAGCTACAAGATTGTTTTTATGCCAGCGCTGAATGAAACTCTCTGACCTGATTCAACCCCACCGAAGACAAGTGCAAAATTCACCCTGCTATGAATGGGTTTCCAGCTGAGAGATCCTTTGAGCTTATCATGAATTAAGGTATAGCTTGTTCTGATGATGAATTGAAATGATTTAAAATCAATTATAACATAAAAGACATCCCAAACTAGATGTTCACTGAGCTGAGATTCTTGATTTACAGCCCAACATCCTGCCCCTAAATGGAAATCCATACATCACTGAGTCAATGTAATCAGACTTCAGATAACTTACTTTAGAGCAGAAAATTCATCTTTTTTTCCTCTGTTCAAGCCATTAGCATTAGCTGGGCATTAACAGCAACCAGAATAACTATCAGTGCAGACATTTCACCATCAAAAATCCATGAGCATAACAGAGACTTCCAAACAGTCAACAACCCACTTTTTTTGCCTACAAAACCAGCCCTGAGTCATTTTGGTCACCACTTTATGTCACAAATGTAGAATAGCTGTGGAGCAGATAATGATTTACTCTGAGCCCTCTGGAAGAGGCAAACCCTTCCAGGCTTGTGCTCGGCCACAAGTACCACTCCTTTCTAAAGAGAAAATAAAACTTAGGACACTTGTGCCAATGTGATATTAATGGAAGCAGCTTTTTGTTTTGTTTTAAAGAAAAAGGACACACCGTTGAATTGTGACTTCCCATAGTTGCATGACTATTTATATAGAGAAATATAAATTCATATAAATGTATACATATCTATAGATACACATATAATACATTTTAGGCATATACATACATACATATATACACACGGTGCTATATACACATACACAGATTTGTATATACATATATATAAATATATATATATACACACAAATGCACGCACAGCTTGCTTTTTAGCTAGCTAGAGTTATAAATTCTCCCTCCCCCACAGAGCCAAGATGATCCCAGCTGCCTCTGCTGAACACCCCACGGTTGCCTCTCCATCCCAAATTAAATATAATCCTCATTATTCTGCTGCTCTGGTTCCTGAGAAACTTGGCAACCTTTCGGAACGACTCGAGATGCAGCAATTCCTCCTGCCTTGCCTCTACTAACCTATTCTAGGAGATGCAATATGCTGCTAAGATTAAGTGTCCAAAATGCTAATATGTCTGAGAAGTGCCTCCACTGACCTACATTGGGAATGTAGGTCGTAAAGTGGCTATTTTTAGCTTCGTTACCAAAATGCCCATATTTTAATAACAGTCCAAAGCAAGCCATGCTCCTGAACCCCCCAGACCTTTCCAGCAATCTGATCCTACACTGTAACAGTGCATTCATGGGTACACACTTAGACACACACACAGCACATGTGTACACACTGTACAAACCCAGTGTCAGCATTTCCATAACACACGTCCCTGTTCCAGAAGAAGTAACGACACGGGAGGCAGTTACTCCTCCTTTGAGCTGTCAGCAACTAATTTTAGGAGCATCTCCACTTTCTCCCTGAAGTGTAGCTGTTAGGGATCCATCTGCCCAGGGATTTGTGCTCTGAAGGCTGTGACAGGCTTTGGTTGGCTCGGAGGGGCTGGCAGAGCACGGGGCCCGTCACACCACCGGGGCCAACCTCGGGGGGCTACTACAGAGCCGAGGGCCAGGTGGGCAATCCAGTCGGTACAGAGGGAAGTCTTGAGGTGCAATACACCACTCTACAGAAAAACCCAACAGAGAGAACCACATTTTCAGTTGGCCCCCGCTCCGGGCACGTGGGCGATGTGCAAACAGAGGGGGCAGAGCTTGTCGTCGGCCAAAGGGATGTCTGAGCATGCAGAGGGGTCAAAGCTGAGAATGCCAAAGACCTGGAGGCTGGTTGAGAAATTGGGCCAAAGGCAGGAAAAATAGGGGTTTATGAGATATTTGTTTACCTGCTCTAAGGAGTTTTCAACAAGATTTTCCTGCTGTTATTGACTGTCTCCACCCCAGCAAGAGGCACTTGGCTTTCAGGTGCCCTTGGCACTGTCAGCCTTGGCACAGTTCCCACCTGTCACAGCTTAACCCACCTCCCAGCAATGCCACTGTCATTCCTTCCATCAGCATTCCTGGCTGTAGTGTCACAGCCCCTCAGTGCTGACAGGAACAATATATATATTTATATATATATAAATTAGATACATCCACAATTCTTACTTTATTGGTTTAAAAGTGAAGGGGAGAATTAACCATGGATTAAATGAGGACTCTTTGCCTTAATCAGCGCCTTTACTCCTCCTCAGGGCTGCAGAACAAGGAGCCCATAGCTGTGATTTGCCCTTTCTTTGAAGGAAACACTGACGTAAACTGGATCTAAAAAATACCTTTACTTGCCATATTTCTTTGCTTGTCAATACTATCCACTTTCCAAAGCAGCCAGGGGTTTTGGGTCACTGCAAGAAAACATAACAGAAGTGATGCCACAAGAAATTGCTCTCCAATTAAGAAGAATGCATTAGCTACACATCTATTTCAGCAGTGCTTTGAGGACAACTGATCAGATGTGCCCTTGCAGGGCAGTTTAATGGCACCAGAGAAACTCTGGATGAGTTTTCTAAAGAAAACAGAGACAAAATTTTAAATGCCCAGTTTTTTAAAAGCTCATTTTTCACCAAAATGCTACAACATGATTTTTTTAAGTGCTCCCTGGGCACACTGGGCCAGTCCCTCCAGTGGTGCAGCACCCCAGGGACGGGATTTCTCAGGGTGGAGCAGATTAGCTGGACAAATCCAACCCTGGAATCTCACTAGTGGGAATTTCTTACACCTCCCTTTGAGTCAGACTGTCCTGGGCACTCTCAGGACACGGTAGAGTGAATGCATATCAGCTCTACTGAGTGGCAATTCCTGCACTCTTTTGAGCATAACTCCTTCATTCTCTGAAGAGAATAAAAAGAATTAAATTTAAAAGTCCTATTAAAAAGTATAGTTTGGTGAGAATTTTCACACTTTGCAATATTTCCCTCTCTCCAGTCATACTCGGAATAAAATCAAACCAAACAATCACAGAGAAAAAAAAAACCCAAAAGCAAACAAACCATTAATTAACTTTGATTTGCAAAACCAAAGCCTCCAAAGCTCAATGACAGACTTTGGTTAAAGGGTTAAACAATAACAGACATTTTATATATATATGAAATAACTTAGAGACCAAGTACAAAACCAAAGGTGTTTGTAGCTTTCTAGAAAACTCATCTCAGTTTAGGACAGTCTTTTGTGACAGACTCAGTTTCAAACAATTTTGGTCTGAAAAAGTATCAACCAACACATTCCTGCAGTTCTTTAACATGTAAACCAGGTACTGTCTCTGGAAAAGCAAAGTAAAGCTGAGGAAAGCAAGAAAAAGCTCCATAAAAATCCCATAACAGTATATTAATGCCACTGTAACATCTGCAGAAAGTCATTAACTTCAGATGAGATGGTCCCTGCAGGATAAAGGCTCCCAAACATTTCCTCTGCTTTTTTTTGGCCGTTTGGTTGGTTTTTTTAGGGTTACTGTGGCAGGATTCCCCCCTTGGCAACGGTGCCAGGTGCCACCATCAGCAGCAGGGATGGCAGTGCCATCAGAACCAGCAGCACATCTCAGGTCTCTTCCATTCCAGTAGTGATTTATCACAGTTCAGGAGCTCCTGTTTGGAATCATTCAATCCCTCCTGGAAAATCTGATTGCTGCAGAGAACCTCCCTCCCTGGCATCACGCTACAACAAGGTGCCAAATTGCTGTGCCACGTGCCATGGGCAGGATATTCCTCCCCAGCTAGTGGCACTTGTTTGAATTCCCAGGTACTGAGAGATTCAACCCTTGGCTAGCCTAAAATATTTCTTCAGGATTCATAGAATATACAGGATATCTCTGAGAGATTTAGAAAATTCTGGTGGAGAAATAAAGACGTTAGAAAAAGCAAACGGACATTAAAGATTCAGTGTATGACATGAGTGAGTTATTCATATTTTATGTTGTGCTATGCCCTCTATTTGTACCTATTCTTTTTAAGGCACCCAACAGCTCAGTATATCATGTACATCTTCATGATGCCTAAAAATAACCCCACACTTCAGATGAGCATCCTTAGCATTCAAAAATATAATGGTTGATGCAACATCCACCCTGCAGAGACTGCCCAGTGTGAACGTGGGACAGAGCATTCCTACAGCAATGCCAGTGGCTCTGCTCCTTTGAGCCTTTTCCTGTCATTTTTCCCCCAAAATGATCTGTCTGACACTATTCTGAAAAACACAATAATGACCAATTTAACAGAAAATGCCACCACAGGGGAGTGTTTCCAGATACAGTCCCAGTGATCAAAGATAACCCACAAGTTTCACCTCCTGGGTGAACCCCGTGTGTAGCAAAGCAAATGCTTTCCTCAGAAACACCCCAAACTGCCCCAAACAACCTCAACAAAAAAGAGAATTACATAATTTTACAACTGGGAAACTATAAGGATCAAGCAAAAGACATTTTAAGAATAATTCCCTGAAACACAGTTGTCAGTGCCTGTTAATTACAGAATCATAGAATGGCCTGGGTTGGTATAGTTAATATTCTTGCTTTCAAAGAGAAAGATAATACTAATAAAGTATTTCCAAACAATTTGCAATTGTTACATTAATAATCTTCTTGGCTACTTGGTTACCAATGACATTAGGCCTAAACTAATTTGTCTTGATGCAAATATTCTTATTTTAAAAGTGAGTGAGGTCAATCAGAAAAATTACTAAATGGATACAAACCCATTTTCTCTGTATCATGACTCATTTTATTCTGAAATAGTCACAGGGAGCACTTGTCTCAACATACTTGAATCCACTTAATATATGTTGTAATTTTCTGAGATCAGATTTTGCTCCTCATTCAAGTCTTTTGACTAAATCTGAGCATAATGTGTTTCAACACTTGCTCCAAGGGAGCAGAATTGGGCCTCCAGTCCATACCCACTCAAGGGTTTGTTCCAAGCACATTCCAATTCTTCCACTAGCTCAAACAGGTTTCAAACTGGGGCATAGCTACACCTGCCCAATCAAAACAGCAATATTTCAAGAATTGGAAAAAGGAGATGTATTTCCACTCACATCAGCATCAAAAAATAGCAATTTTTGTACAAAAAGCTACCGTGAAACTCCATATTGTGTGGATTTCCATTTCTTCCACAGAGTACAACTGTGTTGTACTGTATAACCCATTCATAAATCCATCCCTACATAAATTCACTGTGAAACCCAGCTATGAGGAAGCCAGATTTAGAATCGGGCCTTGGAAAACTCAGAAAATAAGAATATGCCACGCACAGCAGCCTGATTTCCAAGTGTACATAAATCCACATTGTAAAAGCAAGTGCCTTTGGAAGAAGTGCAAGCCTGGAACAAGTTCCCACCTAAGTGGCTGGAGCTCTGCCAAAAGTCGTACCCTGTGGTTGAGTGATGTAGCTGAGCGATGAACTCCCCCACTTACAGCCAAATTCTACACAGTTTTTTTTCATGTGAACATTTCTGTTCAACCTAAACCCAAATCATCAGGTCTCCTTCCTCTGAAGGAGGTACTCGAACCAAGTGGAAGCAGCACAGAGCTCATGGAGTGCTGCTGGCACACCTGAGTTCTCCAGAAAGGTGCAGCACTGCAGACTGACATTTTGTAGAGACCTTTTTTCTCCTGCTGCTGGAAAAGTTCACAGAGAGAACATAAGTTGAACGAAAACACACATTTCTAGCTTAAAACCGAATCAGCCATGCTCAAAAGTGGTTTTGTCTGGAAAGGCCTCTGACAAAACCTTGAGCTACCACAGCTTAACTCATATTCACTGAATGTCATAACAAATGAGCTTCTCACTCTCAATACTCATCTAACCAGAGCAGTTCAGGTCCTATCTTCCTGCAACAGGCATTGGATTGCTTCCCAAAATTCAGATTATTATTCATACTGTAACAATGAACATCTTTCTCTCACTGTTGATACACTCAAGAGATCCATGAAGCAATTTCCAAGTAAATTTTTTAACCCAGGGCACAGTGTGACAGTGACATCAATGACAATATCCAGAAACTAAAAAAGAGCACCAATAATTGAGCACCATCCTTTCCACTTCCCTGTGTGCAGCTGTTATTGACTGGGACTTACCTGGCCTTGCTGTTCTTTTCCACCTGTAGGAAGAATTTCAATATAGTCAATGAGTGAATAGACCAAACACATGCTGAAAACTTTGCTACCAGCACCCCCACAGGCTGAACTGCTCAAGCCAACACCAGGTACTTGTACAACAATGAAATAAGCTAAAAAAATATTTATTTAAAATAGTATCCCATGAAACAGCTCTAATGTAACTGCAGATCACTTTGACTTTATTTGATTCCTTCCCAGTATCATGAATGCTACCAAGAATACTGCTGATAATGATATAATTAGCATTAATACTCCCTAATAATTAGGTGTAACCCAGGTAAAGAGTCACCTATCACAGATCAGAGATGATGGATCCGTTTTAGTTTCCTGCAGTGGAAAGCACTGCTGCCACCCACTCAGCCTCAGCTCAACACAATGAAACAGCAAAATAAGAGTCATCAAAACACCCTTTAGACATCACACTTAAATATTGTCAACAATTCCAAAGCGAATTATCCCTTTAAACATTGTCAACACTTCCAGATTGAATTGTCCCTTAAATATTGTCAACACTTCCAGAGCAATTCATCCCCAAATCATCTCAGTACACAAGGAAAAGGAAGTTTCCTACGCAAGGAAAGAAAAATAACTCAACATAAGCCAAAAATTATCTCTTTTAATACAAAATTCCATTCTCATAGAACAAATTTATTTTCCACTGAATAAATAGATCTGCTCACCGTCCACGGGCGAGATTACTGCCTATAGTTATGTTGAAATTCTCTTGCCTTTCTGCAGTTTAATTAAAATATAAACATTATTTGCAACCGGCTTTACTCTATTTGGATACAAGTATGAACACTTGGGGGTTTGGTGACATTGCCAAATGTTTACAGCACCACTCTCACTGGGGGTTGTACTTTGACCTGATTTATACAGCTCCACATTACTTTGCATGTAGGCTCATGGATGTAATTCTTACAATTATGATGAGGAGGATCTGGCCTTTGCACTTGCATGTTTCACACCTTTAGCACGTGCATGCTCTTCTACTATCCATTAAAAATAAAAAAACAAACAACAAAACAAACAACAAAGCAAACGAATGAACCAACCCCAAGGGATTAGAGCTGAAGGCAGCAGTGAGAAAACACGGTATCAACTCAACAGAAGAAATTCAAATGGGTGACATTTTTACTGATGTAGTGGAGGTGATGCTGGGTTTACAGACGTTGGGAGCTGTCCCTGTGTCTCCAGACACCCACAGCTACTACCATGACTCTCCAAGACAGATGAATGCAAAAAGCCTACAAGGAGCATCCTGGTTGGAGCTGTAAATAGCAACACGGGGGGAAAGGGGGGGGGAACAAGTATTAATGGGTTTATCTCTGTTAAAACACATTGTGCGGGGTGAAACCGAGCTGTTCCCCAGAGGGAGGAGGGCGGATGGTCGGGAGAGTGACCTTGGGGCGGGGAGGTGACAAATCCCGGTCCCCTCAGGACAGCGGCAGGAGCGCTCCGGGCAGCACCTTTGGAGCTCAGCGGGCGAATAACCTCCACACACCTGGATACATCACCCTGACCGCTGCTCAGACAAATTATATTTATGGATAGATTGGGGATTTCTGTATAAAAG